AATGAATTAGGTGAAACCAAAAAGAGGCTTGTACCCCTCAAGTCCAACTCTTGCAACTTGGTAAAGTTTCGAACAAGCTTGTTAAAGCTAGTAGTTGTTTGTGTTGAAAGATTGTTCCAGGAAAGATCAAGCGAAATCAAATGAGATAGTTGACCGATTTCTAATGGAATTTGACCAACGAAATTATTAGAAGATAAGTCCAACTCAGTGAGTTTTGATAAATTACCAAACAATACAAGATTAGACCCTATGAAATTGCAACTTTTGAGTTGCAGTGATTCCAACAAATTTAGATTTTTGAAAAATTCATTTTCTAAATATATTGGAATTTTAGTCTGAGAAAGAGACAAACGATAGAGTGAAAGACTCCAATTTGACGTTGGAAAAGAGCCATTGAGGCCTACATTGTACGCTAAGTCTAAGACTTCGAGATATGGAAGCTCATTGTACGCTAAGTCTAAGACTTCGAGATATGGAAGCTGAATTATACTGTCTGGAAATTTGCCTCTCAACCTAGAAGATGAGAGTCTGAGGGATGACAAAGAAGTAGATAAATTGATAAAGGAATTAGGAGAAATCAAAGACAAGTCTGCACCGCTCAGGTCTAATTCTTGCAATTTAGTTAAGTTTCGAATAAGCTTGTCAAAACTAGCAGTTGTTTCCAATGTCAAACCAAAGTTCCAGGAAAGATCAAGAGAAACCAAATTGGATAGCTGACCGATTTCTAATGGAATTTGGCTATGAAAGTTTGAATGATTTAGATTGAGGTGTGTCAAGCTCAACAAATGGCCAATTTGAGATGGAATTATGGAGCCTCTGAAATTATTGTAAGAGAGATCTAGTTTTTGAAGATGATGAAGAGCGAAATGAAGAGCGAAAAGAGAATTATTAGAATGGAAGTTACCGTAAAGCATACTGCTAGAAAGGTTAAGCCCAATCACATAGCCAGTATTAAAGTCACAGCTGACACCATCCCAAAAGAAGCAACAATCCGTGCCCTCTTTCCATGAATCTGTCTTGGGATAAGAATTAAAGAAAGGATGATAACTCCCGCTAATGGAGAAGGAGTTTTTGAATTGGAGCAAGGCATTGCTTTGATCAAGCCGGCAAACTACATTTGAGAAAGGGGAATTTGTAATATTTGAAGAATGAGATTGAAAACAGAAGTGAAATAGAAGGAGGCAGAGAAATTGAAAATGCCACAGTAAGCAACCAAAACCCATGTTTTGTGTTCGCCAAATTTAATTATGATCAATTTCAGCATATATCACTCCCTATTTATAGACCACATGATTCCCTTTTTGTTTGAATGATGATAATGTTCTCTCTCCTTTAATTTCTATTTAATTATTTTAAAACATTCGCTCTTTAATTTCTACCACTGTAATTCTATTCTATTTTTATTGTTATTATAATTTACACTATACTTTGTTTTATAATTTCTTTTAATAATTAGAATACTTTACTCTAATTATTTTTAACAAAAGTGGATTATATAGATCGGTGGAGTTGAAATCTCATGATTGATGATGAATAATTAAGAAATTTAAATTTTATCTTTTAGAAATTATACGGTGGTTTCTATTTCTACGCTATCGATCTTTTTCTCAAGGTTTTTCATTTTATCGATCTTTTTCTCAAGGTTTTTCATTTTTCTTTTTGAAGAATCCTCAAGGTTTTTTAAAAAAAAAAAAGAATTTAGAATAATAAGCTAGACTGATGTTTTTCGTATTTTTTTACACCTCATAATTAAAACCAAAATAAAATGAAAGTACATCCAAGAAGGCAATAACTTTTCGATGCTTGCATGCATGCACCATATCTAGATCCGGTGCATGACCTCATTTATAGACCAAACAAATAAAATTAGGAATTTTTTAAAAAGTATTTCACTTATAACCCTCTAATTAAAAAAGTCAATCAACAAGTGAATAGGTGAGCCTGAGAACGACTAGATATTAAAGTGTTGTGTCAAATTCAATCACTATCCGAAGACTTATGCAAGTCTTTCTCTTTGCCTCTAAATTCTTTGATAAGTTAACGATTATGCTACGTTTTCGTTACGGCTACGGTTATGCATATGTAATATAAGCCTTCCTACTTAAATATTCGTCGATTATATTTCCTCCAAACTATAGTTTTTTAATCTATAAATTAAGAAATTCGTTGGTTTTGACAATGTCCGGATGTGACTTTTGATGTAGATTAAAAAAAAGAAAAACAAAAGCAGAGAAAAATGTTGGTTTTGACAATGATTACGATCGAATTGACAATTACATTAAGAAAAACGATGATTTAATTACTATAACTTAGAGGTACATTTCTTATTGTCAATTGACAATTACAATTACATTTTTTATTGTCCATGAAATGAATAGATAATTAAAAACTTAGAGGTCCATAAAATAAATCAATATAATTAAAAACTTAGAGGTCCATAAAATAAATCAATCAAATAAATACTAAAGAATTAAAAAAAAATAAAAATTAACATCTTTAGCTGCTACCTGCTAGTTAAAATAATGAGAAATTGTTAATTTTTTTTCTATAATTATGTTTGGATATAATGAAATAAAAAAATAAATTTATTTTTCATTTATTTGATAAAGTAAAATTCTAGAGGAACCACTCCCTTGGTGGTTGTTGCAATAGCTCTATTTATGATATTTCTATCTATTATTTTAATATACTGATAAATTAACTGATTTATGAATTAACCATAGTATAAATTTCAGATTACGAAAAATCATACTATAAATTAATCAGATATTAATTAGCAGAAATTTTAAAATTTTTTAAGGAAATACAAATTAATTCAATAATAAATTATATTTATTCAATCCCCCTTCTTCCTCTCAGTCGCACAATTATGGATTTATAATAGTCATGGTTTTTTTTTTTTTTTTTAAATTTTGTTAAAAAGAAATATATTTAAGCCATCTCTTTGTTCGTTTGCAAATCAAGGCATAATGTTTAATTTTATTTAAATTGCTTCTTCCACCAGTTGATTGCGCAAGAATCAATGAATGCATGAAGATAACCTACTTGTATTTCTTAATGAAGGAATAGTCTTGTCTTAGTCAATGATTTTATAATGGCCTGTTGCTTCTATTATTTTATTAGTCTTTCCAATTATTAATATAACCAATCTTGACTTAATTAAAGGCTTAATAAACAAAACAAAATGTTTGGAATTTTGGGATTTAAAGCAATTGGAAGAAAGGAATCCTATTTCCAAAGTTGTCTCTAAGACAAATTAATTAAAATTTCAACAACAATATACTTCTTAATTTAGAATTAAAAAATTATATGTTTATATTAGTTTGTATTTTATGCAATGTGTATTTCACGCTCCGTTTTTGTTATTCACAAAAAAAAAAAAAAAAAAAGTTTGCCAAACCTTTTTACCGTGAATATAGAATTTCTTTTTTTTTTAAATGGTTATTAAAATTATTAAATATAAGTGTTTATTAGCATTGAATTAACTTTTAGAGGATTAAGATACGTTTTATAAAAGTACCCGTATAATAATGTTTAACTTTTAGCGTTATTGTATATGAAAAAACTATTTAAACAGGAGATAGGAGTCGACCAAAAAAAGATTAATGAGCTATTCAAAAAAGCAAAGCCAGGCGAAAACCCATAATTTATGCTTTAGATTTTTTCAAAATGTTAGTTGTGAATTAATAAAAAATTTTGTAAATAGAAATTTTTTCCGTTGACCCACAGAGAGGCCACTGTATTATATTTCCTTGTGGTGCCAAAAGACAAGACACATTGTAACAAAAGTAAATGTATGTGTGTAGGTACATGTACTTGCCTTTAAAAACAAATAAAGCTAATATAGGGTATCTTATTCCAAGAGACTGGAAAAAAGAGAGACTTGTAATTAAGTGCATCTCACCCTCTTTCTTCCATTTATATTGTTTACAATTAATTCATTTTGATTTTTCATTAATGGAAGAAGAGAATTGTATGTCCACTTTTCATTAAATTTGAAAAGTAAAGGCAGAATTACTTATTTAAAACTTACCTGCCTAAGAACAGATCAAAGAATTTTAAAACTATTTTCTTAATTTTAAAACTATTTCTACATCTACTGACATCGACTCATCTGAATCTTTAAGAAGGAGAACAGTGATTCTAAGCTATTTTGTTCACTAAGAGTCATAAAAAATTATAGTATTACATATATAAATGCTAAGAAACCGACAATAGTAAAATCTAAATCTAACATTCACCTTATAGTTTCATATTTATCATAGAACAAGACATTACTTCTACATTATAATAAGTTTATCGATACAGAGATAGAAATACTTTAGTTATATGAACACCAAATTTTAAAATAAAGATTATTTTTGATGGAAAATAAACCATTGCATAAACAGTTTCAACAAAAAAAATTCACCACATTGATTAATTCTATTGCATCTTGAAATACATAGTGCACAGCTTTTAAGTACTGCAGATTTTTATAAGTGAACTTCTTTATTAAGAGCAGTCCAGCAAAATTAATTAAGTCTTAAACTAACTTAAAGAAATGATTTTTTTAAGAATCCAATAATATTAAATATAATCCTGACATTCTGTCAATTTTTATCTTTCTTAATTATTCAGAATCCAATGATATTAAATTTTATAATTTCCTAAATAAGGAAATTTATTAATTTTCTAAATTTTTTGTCTTTACCAAATAGTGTAACGTTACACGTGGCCACGACTCGCATAACCGTCAAACACGGTCAGGTGAGAAAACTCTGTTTGACTAACCTATCTGCCACGTGTAAAAAAAAGAAAAACTCAACAAAGCCACTGTACAAATAACCTACACAGCTGTACCTGGTGGAAATCCGCCGCTCCAAAGTAAGCGGCACGCCGATTTCACTTATAACACGCCCAGATCCTTTGATCAGAACGTAGAAATAATAGTACCGATTCAAGACACCGTCTAATTATTGGTTGTACTAATTTTCTCCGCCAAGACAACCGTCTAATATGTTGACTAATTTCTCCGCCAATGGATAACTGATCGCAAATCCTCCACCGCCAAAAGCCATATCGTACGCGTGCATCAAATCTTTCTCATTTCCAAACAAAACACCGAATGAAAAATAACCATCGAAACAAAATTGATAATCCATTGTTATTTTCCTTCTTTTAATATTTTCTTTCATCTCATTTGTAATCAGGGATTAGAGTTAAAACCCTAAACTCAAATCATTTATCCCTCATTCAAACATGCTTTTAGTGTTTGTTCAAAATAAAATTATATATATTGTTGACAAATTATTTTGTAATGTTTAGGATGAAGGGAACTTACCATGCGAGAAGTTAAAAGAAAATTCAATTTTTTCAGAGAAAATATAAAACAAAGTTTAAGAATGGTTAACAACTCAATACCAAACTTAATTATCTTTCAATACCAAACTAATATATACCATAGCTTTGTTGTGGATGATTCAACTATTAATTCAATTAATTTAACAGATATGATGTTAAAAGTCATAATTATTTTGACCTTTTGTGTTTAGAGTTATTGGAGAGATACTTAATTTGTATTTACAAGATTGAATAATTAATTGATTTAATTAATTAATTAATAACGTAGAAAGATTAGGATAAAAATGGTTCTTTATAATTGTTAACGAATGAAATTATCAGATTAATTAAAGGTATAAAATGAAATTATTGCAATTAGAAGAATTGATAAATTTTAAAGAATTGATAAATTGAAATTGGAAGTGATTAATTACCTATTATTTGGTTTAATAATTTAAATTATATTCTAGAGAATAAAAAAGAACCATTTGCTACTATTATTGAAAAAAAAGATAAACAAACCAAATTAATCCTCATTTTCGCAGGTTGCTCAGGTTTGGACTCAATTGATTGGATTAAAATATGATTATATTCAGTGACGGAGGGACAAGATGTCAGGGGTGACTCCTAAGTAATTTTTTTTTTAATAATTCAACTCTAAATTTCTAAAAATTTTCAATTTTATTCCTTAAAATATAATAATTTTTAATTTAGCGCTTCCTAACTTTTGAAAAAAAAAATAATTTTTGTCCCCTTTATCTTCAATCCTGACTCCGCCACTGACTATATCCATCGCTTTTGTTTGTTACAGTTTTGAGATCACTTTTTTGTTCTTCAAGTATGATTTAATTGAAGGGAAATCAACATTGGATATCTTTTTGTTTGTAATCTATTGCAAAACCAGCAAAGAAGTGAAGTTAACATCATTTTTTCATTTTTGTCTTCAAAAATTTTTAAAGAGTTGTAAATTACGTGCAATTTGCATAGACCCTTTGAGACTTTTAAAAGTATTTAGAACCTGCAGGTGAGAATGGCTTGATTGAAGACTTGTTCAAGTCTTTGTTTGCCCCCAATCCTAAACTCCTTGATAAAGTTAGCCATTAGAGTCCAAACAAAAAGACTTGCACAAGTCTATCACAGGCTTTTTTGACGGCTCATATTTTCTCCAATCATAAATATTAACGAATATTGATATTTCAAGCCTTCAAAATTTTCCATTTCTCAGATGTGAAATGCTCTCGTCAGGGTGTGACATGGTCTATGACACGATAATACAATTTATTTAATATCAAAATTAAATGGATTAAGGTTGAATTTAAATAAGTTCGTGTCATAAACGAGTGATCCACATATGACACAAGTTTTAAGCGGATCGTGCTACAAATTGACTCATCTAATCCGTCTAACTATTTATTTTAAGATAATCTAATCCGTCTAACTATTTATTTATTTTAAGATAAAAATATAATTTATATATATATAGAGAGAGAGAGAAAGAGAGAGAGAGAGAGGATTATGTGGGCTATACGTATTATAATTATCGTGTTTTGATCTGTATATGATCCATTTAATTAAATTTGATTGACTTTTTTGACTCATATATGAGCTATTTAGTTAAACGGGTTACACCTATTGTGTTCATGTTACTCGTTTAATTTTTGTGTCGTACTTATGTTTAAATATTTGACACGATTATTAAGCAGGTTGTATTTATATTGACCCTAATCGTATCACGTTAGGAGGAGTATTAAGAATTTGCAAGTTAAAACTCATTGTTCCTACTCGTTTTTTTATTTTTTTCTAAATATAGTTTATTGATTTTTCTATAATATAATAAAAATGATAATAAATTAAATTATTGAATAAAAAATAAGTATACTTAATTAGGTGTTTTAGTCAATATTTTATTGTTAAAATATTATATATTATAAATATTATAATATATATGTAGACAAAATGAATGAATATTGAAAAAAAAAATCAAAAATGAATGAATATTGAAAAAAAAAATCAAAATTGAATGACAAAATAAAACTTTATGATTGAAACGATATGAAAAGTAAAAACAATCATAACTCAAGTAAAGTAATATCTTTAAAATTAAAAAGTAAAATGATAAAATAAAAGTTTTTGACATATAATAATAAACTCTATAGCCAAGAAAAATAAAATTATTATGGTGATTTTTTTCTATAAGTATTAAACATTTATATTGGTAGTATATAGTAAATTGGTATTTTAATAAGATCCTAATTGAGTTATATTATCATTCATAAATTATTCATAATTAAAATATTACTCATACGTCTTATTTTCAACTATTTGAAGTACAATAATAAATTTAAATAATAAGTACTGATTTTTAATTCTTTTAATCAAATTATTTTTATTATTTTTTAGATCTTTTAAATCAAATTATTTTTTATTTTATTTTTTAGAAATAAGTTATTTTATTAATAGTTTTATTTGAAACATTTTTAAATTTTTGAAGTTAAATTTAAATTAATATAAAATAAATTTAATATAGTTTTTTCTATCAATTGAATTAAAATATTTTGAGCATATAGGCTTCGTGCTTCTTAAAACTGAATCTTCATTCAAGCTTTATTTGATTAATTGATTTTTATTTAAGGTCAGGTTATAAAAAAAAATTTTCGGTTTTCTATTTTTATATTTGCTAGTTTTATTATGTTTAAGTTGAATATTAGTAACGGGCAAATCTAATTAAAAATTATTATGATAAATTTTAATCAATCATTGAATTAAAAATTTTCTAAATTAGGATTAGGACTAAGATTAATTAATGATATTGTTAATCAATCAATAAAACACAAATAAAATTTAGAATTCCCTATACCATATAAAAAATTTATGATTTACTATTAATATTATATTTTAAATATTGAAATTTCTAATGGTTAACTCTATTTCTATTCGAAATAACTTGAAAATTAGAAAAAATAAAAATAAAAGATATTATTTTAACAATATTAATCTTATAAGTCCAATAAAATATAAAATAAAAGGAGGAGAAAAGGAGAAAAAGATACAAAAACAGAAAAATCAATTTTATGGTTATAACTTTAGGCAAATAGGTAAAAATTCGCATTGCTAAAACTATTTGTGTATCGCATTTCCTAACTCTTAGCAACGGATAGAAGTAAGGAAATTCTGTTTAATTAATAAAAATGCAATTCAGGTTATAACTTTTACAAACGGAAAAGTCTCATTCTGTTTTCTAACTTGTTTGTAGAAACCCAGTGAAAACAAACAAGATTTGTTAATTAATTAAAATATTTGATTAAGGAAAACTATATAAGTTAATCCAATTTAAAAATTATTTAATCAATCAATAAAATTAAAAATTTTCTAATTAGAATAGGATTAAATTATTTTTAATGATATTTTTAATCAACCAATAAAATATCAATAAAATTATCAATTTTCTCATTAGAATAAGACTAAATTATCCTTAATAATATTTTTAATCAATTAGTAAAATTAAAAATATGTAAGTGTTATGATATGATTGCAAACTCAATAATTTTAAATTAACAAAAGCTTTATATAATAATTCTTAATAGTCAAAAGCAATAAATTCTTGATAGTCTAAAGTAATTAAAACTAAACATATATATATAGTGTTATGATATAACGAAAGTTATGATATAACGAAATCTTAATTAGAATGATATTAATGGACAAATTCAATTGGATAATTTAACATTAATGATATTAAATTCCTAATCAGTCAATAAAATGAAAGTATTAATTGGATAATTTTCTATTTATAATTAGATTAAACTTCATAATAGAATTTAGATTCAAATAGAAAATTAATATAACTAATCAAAGTTAAACTACTTTTATTTTTCAACGAACAAAATTAATCAAAGTTAAATTAATCGTTGATGATATTTTTAATTAATCAATTAAATCAAAAGTTCATAGGGGCATTTTAGGAACTATGTTTTCCATTTTAGGAATTCAATGTTTTCCATTCGTATTTTTATACAGATTAGCAACAGAATTTTGATCCGTTGCTAAAGTAAATTAATTAACATTTTGCATGTATTAATTGTCAAGAGAATACAAATTTCAATTAACTAATATAAACTATATTCACAAAAGTCAATGAGTTTATTCTTATTTTTTTTCAAACTAATGAATTTATTATTCAAAAGTAAGTTATCTTTATTTTTTCAACTAATAAAATTAAAATTCTTAAAGTTTTTTATGTTCTTACCATGTATATCTTATATAATATATAATTTTATCCAATAGAATTTATATTATATAATTGTAATTTTATCGCAATAGATTTAATATTTAAATAGTAAAAATATTTATATTCCTTAATAATTAAAATTTAGGCTTTTTTTTAACGCAGATAATTTTATCAAATTTAAAAAAAAATTAAATTCAAATATAAATCGATTTAATAAATTAAAAAAATTTAAACTCCAGAGAATTTTCGGCTTTATACTAAAATATAAGAAAAATATATTTATATTTAAAATATATAGAATTCATTTAGACGGCAAATAAGATCATATCGTTAATATTTCATAGGACCTATGAATAATCACAAAAATTTTAATTTTTACATGTTTGGCCAAATAAGAAAATCATTATATGATATTATAAAGAAATTTTGCTTCACATCTTTAATCAAGTGGCTTTACTTAATAAAATAAGTTATAACTTTTGAAACTAATTTTAGGTAGTTGAGAATACACGATCACTTTAATTTAAAATTACACCGAATTAAATCAAAATTAAAGTGAATTTTCAAAGTGAAAATAGCCTCCAATTAAATATAACTCAAAATATAATTAGTTCAATTGGTTTTACATGCACTTTTAGGTTGGTCAATTTAAACCTTTCACTAAAAATAAAAACTGAATAAAAAAAAATTCAATTTATCTGTGCAAACTAAAAATCAACCGAAATCAGTTTTACCCGATATTTTAATATCCTTAAAATTAGAAAAAATCCCTAAAATTACAAAGGGCTATAAATTCTCTTTTGTTGAAGAAATCTTAGACCATTAATTAATATAATATTTAATTAATTAATGTAATAATAATATTTTTGAACATATTGAATATTAATATAATATTTATTTAATTAATGTAATAATAATATTTTTGAACATATTGAATAACTCCAACTAAGTGCAAAATTGACAAAGTGTATTGTAGAATTCTTTTCTACTTACCATTCTCTTTCTCTCTCTATTCTTAGTTATCCGATATGAGATAAATAGTTTAAACGTGTATATATATTTCACACAAATATATTCAAGACAAGATTAAAAGAAATATCAGATTTCACACAAACTATTAAATCAATTAAATATTTATTATTCTTATTATTGTATAAGATTTTTTTACCTTTATTGCCATAATCCAATTATTTCTAAGTCTAAGAGGTAATTATAAAAAAAAAATATTCATATTTCTTTTTTATAATAAAAATATAGCGTAACCTATTTTTATATCTTAGAGATTCGTCTATAAGAAAAAGAAAAGTGAAAGGAAAATAATTAATTAATCTTCTCAATATACACCGACTTTAATCTATTTATTATTTTTCCAATAAGAAAGAACTAAAAAAAAATTAAATAAACAGAATATTTATATGGTAATATATTTCGCAAAAATTTAATATTGAAAAACTTATTCTAGCTTGAAAATTTATTTTTTAAAAATATATCAATATCAAATCAATACAAACATAAAGAAAAGAGTATCAATAAAAAATACTATTTTTCTATGGTTTATCTCTCTCCTATAAATAAAATACTTTAAATTATATTCAAAATGAAAATCAAAATAAATAATAAATTCAAAAATAAAAATATAAAAATTTCAAATGTCTTATTTATGCATATATACTTTATTTAAAAATAAATTATATTCCAATCACTAATAAACTGTAATTTTTTAAAATTGGCCATCATTAAGAGTATTGTTAGATAACATTTTAAATTTCATTAAGGGTGATATAGGTAATCCATTATTCCTCCGTCATGTCCCACTTTTATATATAATATAATTATATAATATAAGTTAAATTCTAATTGCTTAATTGTGTCTTTGCTATATAATGGAACAATTTAATTTCGTGGGGCATTGCATTTATCTTTGAGATTGCATAATTAGTAGCAATCATAGAAGCACTAGTTTAAGTTAAGGAGTCGAACATTTGTTTTGTTAGAATTTAAAAAAAAAAAAAAAAGAGAGAAAAAATGTTAGTTTTTGACCTTTTGTTAGCAAAAATACATTATTGCAAGCTAAACAATACGTAAGTTATATCAAGCTAAACATACGTAGGTATCAGTTAGTTAATTTGAATTTTATTTCAAGTGACAAATCAAGTCTGACTTTAAAATTATTTTACAGACACACAGAAAAAAGAAGAGAAAAACAATAAAAAAAAAAGAAAAAAAAGAAAGAGAGGAAATTATAGCTTCAAAAATTGAAAACAGCTTTATTGTAGATGTTCCAAGTAGCGCATTTGATTCTGGTGCAACAGAAGAGATCTCTTCTTTCCACTTCGCATGCAAATGCACCATCTGCTTATTAATCATTTGATTTACCTAACAAATTCCAAAGTTCATCATAAAATAAAAATCTTGTTAATTAGATCTGAAGATAGATATTAAAACTTACCTTCAGAAAGCAATTCCGTTCACTAATTTCTTCTTCTTTTTCTTTGGTAAGATATGCAGGTGTTGTTGATACTTCTTTTGAGCCTTGGATGTCCTTCACCTTCAATCAGCTTCACCAACCAAGCAGGTTTTCTTGTTCTGAACACAAGATATCCCATTGCGAGACCAAACACTACTCCAAATGCATATCCCGTGAAAACAGATTTCCATCCAAATCCATTTTCATCAGAGTTTGAATCTTCTTCGCCTGATGGGCTCGTAACTTGTTGCCTTTCACCAGAATTACAAGCCTTTTGCAGTGGAAATCCACACAGTCTTGTGTTTCCTTCATACGAGCTATTATCAAATGTGTTGAACTGAGGGCCTGTAGGTATGGGTCCTTCAAGTTGATTAGGGCACTGTAGGTAATGGGTCGCTTCAAGTTGATTATGGCGAAACAACGAATAGCTTCGAGGGATGTTCAAAGTTGCCAATTTGGATCGGATCCTTTTTCAGTAAGATTATTTGAGAGAGGTCTAAAGTTTCCAGATTGGTCAAATTTTCGCTAATTGATGGTTTCAATATTGGCCTGTGAGATGATTAATGAGACATGTTAAGCTGCTTAAGTCGCTTTAAGCTTTCGCCAACTGACTCGGGATTTTTCCTGTGAAGTTATTAAACCCTGGACAAATCTAATGTTTGTAAGAAGAGTTTGGATTTCACGCAACTTCAATTTTCCAATCCTTTCAATGTCAAGCTCACAGAATAATTCCAAAGAGCCATTTGGTGCTCCCATGTATGTCATAGTTCTGATGCAACATTATCATTGCATCGAAATTATTAAAAATAATATGAAGGCAAAGGTCCGCTGAAAATTGTTGTTGGAGAGGTCCAAAATCCGTAGCTTGGGAAAGCGGATAGTTGGGCAATGGAGTGGCTTTTTCAACTAAACCATGGAGTCTAATTGGATCCGTGAGGGCTGTAAGAATCTGGCAACTTTTTGAAAAGAGTTTGTAGAAAAGAAGGGAATGTGTTCCTCATTGTTGCCCATATCTAAAATTTCCAAATCTTTACAATTGGAAATGGATGTTGGGATTTTCCCTTGCAGTTGGTTGCCATTGAAATTCAAATATCTCACGTTACTGCCTTTTGAAAATACTTGAGGGAGAACTCCATTAAAGTTGTTCATACCCAGATGTAATACTGAAAGGCTATTGCTGAAGTTTCCCAAACATTGTGGAATGGGACCACTGAAATTGTTACTCGACAGGTCAAGGATTTGGAGTGATTTTAACTCACAAAATGCAAAAGGAATTTCTCCTGTCAATTTCTCATTTGATGAAAGAATGAGACCCGTCAAGTCCACCTGATTGAAAATTGAGTTTGGAACTGTTATGGCTCAAATCAACATATTCTAATGTATTATTATATTTGAATTGACATACTTGACCAGTGAGCAAGTTATTAGACAACATCAAGTACACAAGGCTGGAGAGCCTGCAAATATCTGGAGGAATTGGGCCACTAAAATTATTGTATGAAAGGTCCAACTCATAGAGTTTGTCAAGTTTTCCAATTGAGGATGGAATTTGACCAGTGAAATTATTATCTCCAAGTTCCAATACAATGAGTTTGGATAAATTACCAAACAATTCAAGATTAGACCCTATAAAATTGCAACTATTGAGTTGAAATTATTATCTCCAAGTTCCAATACAATGAGTTTGGATAAATTACCAAACAATTCAAGATTAGACCCTATAAAATTGCAACTATTGAGTTGCAGTACTTGCAACAACTTCAAATTCTTGAAGAATTCATTTTCTAAATAAATCGGAATTTTAGTCCAAGAAAGTGACAAGCGGCTGAGTGAGATACTCCAATTTGATATAAAAGTGGAGCTAGTGAGTCCTTCATTATATGTTAAATCAAGGACTTCAAGTTTTGGAAGCTGAATTATATTAATTGGAAATTTTCCTCTTAATCTAGAAAATGGAAGTCTGAGAGATGACAAAGAAGAAGATAAATTGATAAATGAATTAGGTGAAACCAAAGAGAGGTTTGTAAACCCCAAGTCCAACTCTTGCAACTTGGTAAAGTTTCGAACAAGCTTGTTAAAGCCAGTAGTTGTTTGTATTAAAAGACCGTTCCAGGAAAGATCAAGAGAAATCAAATTAGATAGTTGAGCGATTTCTAATGGAATTTGACCAACGAAATTATTATCCGATAGGTCCAACTCAGTGAGTTTTGATAAATTACCAAACAATGCAAGATTAGACCCTATGAAATTGCAACTTTCAAGTTGCAGTGATTCCAACAAATTTAGATTTTTGAAAAATTCATTTTCTAAATATACTGGAATTTCAGTCCAAAATATACTGGAATTTCAGTCCAGAAAGAGACAAATGATAGAGTGAAAGACTCCAATTTGACATTGGAAAAGAGCTATTGAGGCCTTCATTGTACGCTAAGTCTAAGACTTTGAGATGCGGAAGCTGAATTATACTGTCTGGAAATTTCCCTCTCAACCCAGAAGATGACAGTCTGAGGGAGGACAAAGAAATAGATAAATTGATAAAGGAATTAGGAGAAACGAAAGAGAGGTCTACACCGCTCAGGTCCAATTCTTGCAACTTGGTTAAGTTTCGAATAAGCTTGTCAAAACTACCGGTTGTTTCTAATGTCAAACCAAAGTTAAGGGAAAGATAAAGAGAAACCAAATTGGATAGCTGACCGATTTCTGATGGAATTTGGCTATCAAAGTTTGAATGATTTAGATTAAGGTGTGTCAAGCTCAACAAATGGCCAATTTGAGATGGGATTTTGGAGCCTCTAAAATTATTGTAAGAGAGATCTAGTTTTTGAAGATGATGAAGAGCGAAAAGAGAATTATTAGAATGGAAGTTACCGTAAAGCATACTGTAAGAAAGGTTAAGCCCAAAGCATACTGCTAGAAAGGTTAAGCCCAATCACATAGCCAGTATTAAAGTCACAGCTGACACCATCCCAAAAGAAACAATCCGTGCCCTCTTTCCATGAATCTATCTTGGGATAAGAATTAATAAAAGGATGATAACTCCCGTTAATGGAGAAGGAGTTTTTGAATTGGAGCAAGGCATTGCTTTGATCAACCTGGCAAACTACGTTTAAGAAAGGGGAATTTGTAATACTTGAAGAAAGAGATTGAAAATGGAAGTGAAATAAAAGGAGGCAGAGAAATTGAAAATGCTGCAGTAAGCAACCAAAACCCATGTTTTGTGTTTGCCAAATTTAATTATGATCAAGTTCAGCATATATCACTCCCTATTTATAGACCACATGATTCCCTTTTTGTTTGAATCATGATAATGTTCTCTCTCCTCTAATTTCTACCACTTAGTGCAAGAGCCACTGTAATTCTATTCTATTTTTATTTACGGCAACTTAGTGAAATAGAAGGAGGCCACTGTAATTTCTAGTTCTAATTTTTATTGTTATTAATAAATTACACTAATACTTTGTTTCATAATTTCATTTTAAATAATTAGAATAATTTACTCTAATTATCTTTTAAGCAAAAGTGGATTAATATAGATGGTGGAGTTGAAATCTCAATGATTAATGAAGAATAATTAGAATTTAAAAATATTATCTTTTAGAAATTTATGTTGGTTTCTGGTTCTGGCACGCATCGACTCTTTTTCTCTAAGGTTTTCATTTTTCTTTTTGAAGAATCCTCGAAGGTTTTTCAAACGAATTAAAAAAGAGAATAAAAAAAGAGGAAAAAAAAAAAAAAAAAAAAAAAAAAAAAAAAAAAGAATTTAGCATAATAAGCTAGACTAGTATTTTTCATATTTTTGAACACCTCATTATTAAAACAAAAATAAAATAAAAGTACATCCAAGGCAAGAACTTTTCAAGTCTTGCATGCATGCACTATATGGAAAAAACTTGTCACGTACGTGCATGAACTTATTTATAGACTAAGTAATGAAATTATGAATTTTTTAAAAATTATTTCGACTTTTTTTTTCTAAATATATAATCCGAAATACTCTCATTGCAATAAAAATGCTAAATTTTATTAGTTTAATTTATAAATGAAAACATAAACAGAGTCTAAACAAGTTTTTCCCTACGCCATATACAACGTAGGGATATTATTAGAGTATTGATTCTTATCTTTGGGCAATGGATGAAATTTATTTGCCTTTCACTTATAACCCTCTAATTGAAAAAGTCAAGCCTGAAAACGACTAGATTGAAGTGTTGTGTCAATTTCAGTCTTTGTCTGAAGACTTGAAAGACTTATGCAAGTCTTTCTTTGCCTCTAAATTCTTTCATAAGTTAACCATTATTGTCTGGATGTTTATTTTCCATCTACCTCTAAATTAGCTACGTTTTCCTCCAAACCATAATTTTTTAATGAATATGATATTTAAAATCTACAAACTAAGAAATTCGTTATTAAATTATTAAGTTTTTGTTATTTGTTAAGCTATTTATATTTATTAGTATTAGTACTCTATTGAGAATTATGTTGATAAAGATTTCATATGCTTATTACATGCAAAGGTTTATTTTGCAAATCACTATACTCCTCTGATTAAAAGACAATCAGATCTTGTTCTAGAGATTGTGTTTGAGTTGTGTAACAACTGTGATCATGTTACTATTGATTAGGTTAGGAGATCGGTAAATAAAGCTTCTCATGCTTTAGCAATATTATCTTGTTTCTATACTGGTTTTCATATTTAGAATATTATCTTGTTTCCTATACCTGGTTTTCATATTTAGTTTGAGATTTTTTATTCACGTCTTACGCTCTTCTCATATGAAATACTCTTTTTATTTCTGGTTCTCATTCATTAATGAAGTTTCCTCTTCTTCTCAAAAAAAAAAAAAAAAAAAAAAAAAAAGACAATCAACAATTAGAATTGAGAAGGACGAAAGTGAAACATTGTGTCAAAATCAGTCGCTCTTTGAAGACTTATGCAAGTCTTTATTTGCTCCACAATTCCTTAATAAGTTAACCATTATGCTATGTTAAGCAATTTTAATCTTAAAGTCCAGCCAATGACCTAGACAAGTCTTCCTGCCTCATTATTCACGAATCAAATTTCCTTCAACTATCATTATGGTCTGCTAATTGAAAAATTCATAGATAGAATCTGTCTGGCACGTGACGTGTAGATTAAACTAAAGATTTGTTTGGCAAATTTAGCTATTTTAGTAGCTATTAATTATTTTAATAATTGTTAGCTGTTTTAATAGCTATCAAATGTTAGTTGTTAGCTTTCAGCTAAGTAACAATTAAAAGCAAAAGTGTTTTGATAAAAATAACTGTTTAATTGACAATTAAATTTAAAATAACAAAAAAATATATTGAAATATTCACTTAGAATTTTCACTTATAGTCAT